AAAAATTTTAGTGTAGCTATTTTATTTGTAAATTCCCACAGTTATTCCTGCATTTAACAAATATATTCATGCTGGGTCTTTAATCCTATTTGGGAGGCAGAGGCAGGAGGATATCTGGGAGTTTAAGGCCAGTCTGGTCTACATAGTGAGACCCCATCTAGAACAAAATAAAACAAGCAAGCATAAATGCATTCTGCATCAATAACCATCTGGGAAATGCAAACCAAACTGTAGGGAGAGACTACTTCACACCCACAGCAAGGTGACAGGGACACCAGCATGTGAAAGACACAGAGAGGGGCTAGGGAGACTGGCTGCTCTTCCACAGGGGACTAGGGAGACTGGCTGCTCTTCCACAGGGGGCTAGGGAGACTGGCTGCTCTTCCACAGGGCCCGAGTTCAATTCTCAGCACCCACATAGGAGCTCAAAAAAGTGTGTGACTCCAGTGTCAAGAGACCCAACACCCTTTCTGGTCTCAGATATCAGGCATGCATGCAGAGCCCAGGCAAAGTAACCATACTTATTTTTAAAAAATACATTTTTTAAAACAGAGAAAAATGAAAACCTAGGGCGGGAGACATGGCTCAGAGATTAAGAGCACTGACTGCTCTTCCAGAGGTCCTGAGTTCAATTCCCAGCAACCATATGGCAGCTCACAACTGTCTGTAACTCCAGTTATGGAGGATAAAACACCCTCACGCAGACATATATGCAAGCAAAACAACACACATGAAATAGAAATAAATATAAAAAAAAGAAAAATGAAAACCCTTACAGCATATTACCAACACAAATGGAACATGGCTCAGCCACTTTGGAAAACAATTTGATTTTTTTTTTTTCGAGACAAGGTTTCTCTGTATCTTTAGAGCCTGTCCTGGAACTCGTTCTGTAGACCAGGCTGGCCTCAAATTCACAGAGATCCGCCTGCCTCTGCCTCCTGAGTGCTGGGATTAAATGCGTGTGCCGCCACCACCTGGCCCAATTTGGCAAATTCAACTATATGACACATAAATTCCACTTCTAGCTGGAGGTATGTTAGTAAGGAGAAGTAACACTGTGTCCCCATGAAGACTTGTGTACATTATAAAAGCATCTTTCATGATAGCCAGACAGAAGAAACAACCATAGGAATCAGGGACGGCTCAGCAGCTAAAAGCACTTGCCACTGTGAAAGGACGGTCCCAGCACCCAAGTCAGAAGGTTCACAGCTGCCTGTAACTGCAGCTCCAGGGGATCCAACATCCTCTTCTGCCCTCTGGGAGCACCTACTTTTATGTGCACATACCTATACACAGACACAAACACGTAAATAAATAATAAATCTTTTTTAAAAGAAATAATCTAAATGTCCATCACATTATGGAATGAATAAAATGTGACATAAAATACAATGGAATGGTATTCAGCTCTAAAATGGAATGGCGTGATATAATACCACCCCGCGGGAAACCTTGACAATGTCAGGAATAGAGTCAGGCTGTGTGCCAGCACCGCTACCCCACTGATCTCCCTACGCAGCCCAAGCATTTTCCTCATGCTTGAGTCTTTCTCAAGTTTATTTTTATTTATGTGAGGAAAGATTGTACATCACATGTATGTAGGTGTCCTCAAAAGGTGTTGGATCCTCTGGAGCTGAAGTTCCAGGCAGTTGTGAGCTGTCCCATAGGGGTTCTGCAAATGCATGCGCTTTTAACCACTGAGCCGCCAGTCCGGCTGCTTGAGGCTTGCAAGCGCTGGGATTATAGGCATGCACCATGACACCTGGCTTCCATTTTCCTTTCCCAACCAGTATTCAGCATCCTCACCACTATACGACAGCTCGTTCACAGCCCTGGTGCTCTGCCCTGGCGGCTCCCAACAAACAGTAGGTGGTTCCCAGTTAAGGATTTAAAGAAGAGCGCTGCAGTGGGCACGTTCCTCCCTTCCTCCTGCTCCCTAATTGGATACAGGCTTTTCCCCATTTCCAACCTTTTGACACTACACTGTCTTTCATGGTGATCCTCCCCAGAGGATGCAAGCCTTCTGCTTTCTCTAATTACCTTTCGAAAGCACATTACATTTGGTTAATGTTTAAAAAAAAAAAATCCAAGTGTGTTTTCCTGAAAGTCAGACAGCTGGCTAATCTGCACGGAGCAGAGAAGCACCACTTGCCAGAAGAAAGCACTTGAAAGACTTGAGCGAACTCAGGCCTCTTAGCTCCCCCTGTGTTTGACAACAGGGCAAACTCCACCACGGGTACATTTTCCACACACCTTCATCTGAACAGCCGCTAGCTGTTTACAGACGCTCCACAAACACCACTTCACTTAATCCTTGTGGCAGCCCCAAGAGGTCAGCCTGACGGCTGTGTCTGTTTCAGAATGATGAAACTGAGTATCAGAGCATGGCAGCTGTCCATGGTCTGCTGCCCTGCAACCGCACGGTTTGTGTTTGTTTGTCTTTTTTTTGTTCTGTCCAGGTTGTAGGTTATTTCTCTTTATCACACCATAGCTAGGAACCTGAGATACAATCTTCCCACACAGGGAATTCTTTGTCTCTCCTTTTTTCATTTTTGAGACAGGCTCATGTGGATGCCTGTGAAAGCCAGAAGAGGGCACTGGATCCCCTGAAACAGGAGTTTTGTTTTTTCGAGACAGGGTTTCTCTGTAGCTTTGGAGCCTGTCCTGGAACTGGCTCTTGTAGACCAGATTGGCCTCGAACTCACAGAGATCCGCCTGCCTCTGCCTCCCGAGTGCTGGGATTAAAGGACCCTAAAACAGGAGGTACAGGCAGTTGTGAAGAGCCTGATGTGGGTACTGGGAACGAATCCCAGAACCTCTGAAGAGCAGTAAGTGCTGTTAACGACGGCTGTCCCTCCAGCCAGCCCCTGGCTTAGGTATGTTTTGTTGATCTGAACGTGTCCCTGAACACTGGGAAACTCTTCAGCCCTCAGGGTGGTGGTAGAATACGGACAGCCTTTTGGGAGATGAGAAACTACATCAGCTACATAATTTGTGAGGCCCAGGGCGAAATGGCAGTGACCAACTGCATGGAGAAGTCCATGAAACTAGCCTGCCCAGCGCATTCTACTAAATAGTGGATTGATATGTTTTAAGAGTTTCCTATTTAATTACTTTCCTGTGCTCCATTTGAAGTACTTAAAAAGTCTGTTCTCTTGGCCTAGTACTCTTCTGAACCCCTTTCTCAAAGGGGAAATCACCAGGGAGATGAGGGCTACACAAACAAGATCTTTGCTCCCACAGAATGCCTTCCTCAGAGCACTCAGGAACCCAACCTTCCAGATTTTTAGAACGTTGACTAGGACCGACTCATAAGGCTCATGGGCCCAAGAATGTATCGGTTCAAGACTTTCTTAGTGGGTGTGGAGAAGTGGTTCAGTGGGTAAGAGGATTTGCCATGCTGGGTGGTGGTGGCACACACCTTTAATCCCAGCACTAGGGATTCAGGCAGGTGGATCTCTGTGAGTCTGAGGCCAGCCTGGTCACAAGAGCTAGTTCCAGGACAGGCTCCAAAGCTACAGAGAAACCCTCTCTTAAAAAAAAAAACAAAAAAAAACAAAAAAAAAAAGGATTTGTCACCAAGCTCTGAGTTCAAATCCTGTGACTCACGTGGTAGGAGAGAGGCAGTTCTGGCAAGCTGTCTTTTGACCTCCATGTTCAAACCATAGCATGGGGGCCACATATGTATACATACACAGATAAGTAAATGTAAAAATAAAAACGTAAACAAACTTTCTCGGTTTTACCAACTTCTCACTTTTTAAATAGGTCATCTTGGTCTAAAAGTCAACTCTCTGCTTCATCCCCTACCACCACTGAATGTTCGAGCACACACAATGGTCTCTGACCCTTCCCTTTGGTCTCCTGACACCTAGGCCTCCTCTCCCCAAGCCCAGAATCATTTATTTACTGGACACAGTCTACGGTATTTGCTATTGAGAGGCGCCATTCTGCCATACGTCAACACAATGTCCCCGGTCCTTTACGCTCTCTTACCTACCTCCAAGACCAAGCCTACATCTGAACCACATGGCCTTTTCCATGACCCCTTTAAGAAGAGGGGCTGAAGTTACAGACAGTCATAGTGTTCCCGGCGTTCAGTGCAGTATTCACACTTGTTTACAGAAACAAGTCAAAGGTAACTAACCTTCAAGACACAAACTCACACGTGATTCTCTGCAGACTTTACTAGCCTTTGTCCAACGAATCCATATACTTCTATGCCTGTGCGTGGGAGGCACACGCGAAGGCAACCAGTGAGTTTCTGCTTTGAGACACGACCTCAATGTAACAAAGACTGGCCTCTTAGCTCCCTGTGTAGCCAAGGAGGGTTTTGAACTCTTATCGCTCCACCGGTCACGTGCTGCAATTACTTACTGGCCAGAGCTATCGTGCTTGGTTCCTAAAATGCTTCTTGAGGCTTCAAGTTCTCTAAAAATGTTAAGAAATCTTTAGGGGTAAATAAAAAACTAAACGTTTCCAGTGTGGAAGCAGGAAAGATGGCTCAGTGGTTAAGAGCACTGCCTGCTCTTCCGGAGGACGGAGGTTCAATCCCCAGCACCCATATGGCAGCTCTGTAACTCCACAGCTGTCTGGAACTTCAGTTCCAAGGGAGCGGACACCCATGGCAAAACACCAATGCACGTAAAATAAAAATAAGTTAATTTAAAAAAAGGTTTTAAAAAGTTTCCTGGGTGAAGTTGAAGCAAAGCAGGATATGAGTTCAAGATCTGCCTGGACTAATTAAACTATTCCAACAAAAACAAGGTGAAAGAAAAAACTTCCTTCACGTAGACAACGGTAACTTTGCGAAACCTTTTAAAATCGGAAAATATTTTGTGTCTGTATTTCGGTCTTCACGTGATTTGGGAGTGCTCCGGACAGCGTAGGCGGAGCCGCCAACCGTTGCCTCGCTTCCTGCTCCGCCCTCCGCGGGTTCCGAGTCAAAACGCGATTTCACCCCTCCTCCCCCCACTTCCGCTAAGGGCATCCAGAGCGCAGGCGCAAGACCCGGCCGCCTATCTGCGGCTTCCCAGGCCCATGAGAGTGACTGCGCATGTGCACAGAGGTTAGGCCCGGTAATTGCGCGGGACCAGGTGGGTCTCGGGAACTCACGCGACCGACTCCGCCCACCTAAGCAGGAGGAGCTGAGAGCCGGGCGGGTTTCGCCGTGCGCAGGCTCTCTGAGAGGAGGCGCGTGGTGATCCGGGAGGGGAGGGGGGGGGAGGGGAGCGGAGGGGAAGGAAGGGAGGAGGAGCGAGCTCTACGAGCTCTACGCATGCTCACTTAAAACGAGTACGAAGTTTATGGCGTCAGCCACACAATCGGTCTGATTTGTGTGTATCACTTTCACCACAACCCCGCTTTTAAAGAGCTAGACTCCAGTTCTACGTAATTGTGGTTTTTGATTTATAATTTTATTTTATTGGGATAAAAGCTAAGTTCATACGTTTTTATGTATAAAAATTTTAAGTTCACATTATAGTATGGCTGGCTAAGTACAACCAAATGTTTTGTTTGATATTTATTTTTATTTTATGTGTATGGGTGTTTTGTCTGCATTTATTATAGACCACGTGTGTTCCTTGTGCCAGAGGAGGCTGCAAGAGAGCATTGGATCCCTTGGAACTGGAGTAACAAGGTGGTAAACTGCCATGTGGATCCCAGCAACAGAACCCAGGACCTCTCGAAGAGCAGCCATCCTTTTGTCTTCTGAGACAGAATTTCCCTTTACAGTGGGCTGGCCTTGAGTTTATGATACTCTTGCTTCAGTTTCCCAAGTGCTGGAATTATTACCAAAACTGGCTTCAAAAATGCTTTTTAAAATTAAGTATTTAGGCTGGGTAATGGTGGCTTATGTCTTTAATTTCAATATTCAGGAGGCAGAGGCAGAAGGATCTCCATGAGTTCGAGGCCAGCCTGGTCTCCACAGTGAGTTTCAGGACAGCCAGGGCTGCATAGAGAAACACTGTCTCAAAAAAAATAAAAACGTCAAAAACTCCAAAGCAACAGAGAAACCCTGTCTCGAAAAACCAAAAAAAAAAAAAAAAAAAAAGAAAGTAAAAAAAATTTAAAGTGGCCAGTGGTGGTACATGCCTTTATTCCCAGTATTTGGGAGGCAGAGGCAGGAGGATCTCAGTGAGTTCAAGGCCAGCCTGGTCTACCAAGCAAGTTCCAGGCCAATAAAGACTGTTACACAGAGAAACACTGTCTTGAAAAACCAAAAAAAAAAAAAAAAAAAAAAAAAAGCCCAAAAAACAAAACAAACAAACAGAAAACTCAGTTTAAAGCCCTGTTGTCGGGGCAAATGACTGTAATCCCAGCATTCTGGAAGCAGAGGCAGACAGAACTCTATGAGTTCAAGGCCAGCCTGGTCTATAGACCAAGTTCCAGGACAACCAAGGCTACACAGAGAAACCCTGTCTCAAAAAACAAACAACCCCCCCCAACTTAAAATATATGTGTTTTTAAAAATGTCTTCCCACACCCAACTACACTCCTTTTTTGAATGTAGTTCTATAAAATGCCAATTAAGATGACGTCTCGGTGGTCTTTCCAAGGACAAGGGGTTTGACACTAAATCTTGGCAGCTTTACTTTCTTGCCTCCCACCCCAGACAGGGTTTCTCTGTGTAGCCTTGACTCCTCTCGAACTTGCTCTGTAGACCAGGCTGGCCTCGAACTTACAGAGATCTGCCTGCCTCTGCCTCCAGAGTGCTGGGATCAAAGGTATGCGCCACCACTTCCCGGTTCTTGCTCTCCTTTCTAGAAATGTTACTTTCATCAGTGAGCCTAAGAGATTGCTGAATTTTAACCTGAAGACAACACCCACCAGTCTCATAGGATAGTCAGAAGTAATCTTTTTTAACTGTGTATGTGTTCACATGATTACAGGCACCCTCAGAGGGCAGAGACATCAGAAACCCTGGAGCTGGAGTTACAAGGCAGTTGGAAGCCATTTGAACCTGGGTCCTCTGCAAGAACAGTATGTTCTCTTAACCATTGAGCCATCTCTCCAGCCCAAGAAGTAAGTTTTTAAAATATGTAAGTACAAAGTATTATGCCTTCTTCTCATCATATATTGAATAAATACTAGTCGATAAATGGCATTCTTCATTCATGAGACAGCAGTACAGTTCCAGCTGCAGAGTTCCAGAAAGTTCCTCAGAAGGATTTACCTTAATTGCAAGGATGACCAGATGTGTGTAATGGTCTCTTAGACCATAGGGCAGCCAATATTATGGCCCATTCTTTTTACATACTTTCCCTTGTCTAGACAGTATGTAATAGTATGGTAGAGTTATTTTAATCTTCATTTCTTTAATTGCTGGTGAGACCATGCATTTTTCCCCTTGGGATAATTTATTAGTTTTATTGCGTTGCCTGACAACTATTTTTGAACACTGTAATTTCCACTGGCTTATCCCTGTAGACATTATGTTTGGCTTTGACAGAGCATTTTGTTGCCTTTTTTAAAAAAAGAATGTTGGAGAGGTCAGGCACAGTGGCGCCTGCCTCTAATCCCAGTCAAGAGGAGCCAGGAGTTCAAATTCAGCCCTGTCATGGATTGGGAGTTTAAGGCCAGCCTGGGCTACACTAAGACCCCGTCTATAGAAACAGACACAGGCAGACAAATGGACAAAAAAGGGATGGAGGCCAGCAGACAACGCCCATCCCAAAAGCCATTCTGCACAGCAGAACTTTCTAGGGTCAGGAAGTATGTGAGCCTGTCTGTAGAGCCAGCATCATGGAGACTGAGAACAAAGAAGGAGTCAAGGAGGGGGAACCTGCAAACTTATCAGAAGGTGGTCCACATAGCTAAAAAGGAACTGAAAAATTGACTCCTGACATTGTTCCTGAAGGAGAAAGTCCCAAAGGGAGTTGGTTTTCACCAGAGGCAGCACACTACAGGGCCTGTTGGCATACAGCCGTAATCCAAACACTTGGGAGGAAAAGACAGGAAGATCAGACCTTAAAATCATACTCAACTATAAAACAAGTTTGAGTCTAGTGTGGGCTACAGGAGACCTTGTCAAAAAACAAACAAACAAACAAAAAAAACCAACCAAACAAACAAAACACTCCTATTTTTTACATTTCAGTAGAATGTTAAAGAAGGACTTCGGACTGAAATCCAGTGGTAGAACACGTACTTAGTATGCCCAAGGTCCTGAATTCCATCCTTAACACTAAAAGAGAAAAAGTTACAGGGGGTAGTAGCATACACCTCTAACCCTAGCATTCAAGAAGCTGAGGCAGGAGGATCACAAGTTCCAGGTCAGGCTGGGCTACAAAGTGAGTATCTCAAAACAAAACCAAGACTACATTGATTTTTGTGTTTGTTTTCTGTTTTTTTTTGTTTGTTTTTTGTTTTTTTTGAGACAAAAAAACAAAAACAAAAACGGCCTGTGACTTATTCTAAACTCCTGAGAGCCCCTAGAGGGCGCTCCTTCCGCATGGAAGACTTGATAAACAGCTTTAGTGAGATATATTCATACAAATCATATCTCATAAAATTCACTCATTTAAAGTTCACAGTTGTCTTAAGTCCTCTCACAGAGTTGTGAAGCCATCACCACAGTCAGTTTTAGGACAACTGTATCACCCCCAAAAGAGAAACCCCAATAAGCTTAGCCTGTCGTCAGCCCCTGGGAACTGGCAATAGAAGGCTCAGGAATCCAAGTTCATGCTCAGCTGCACAGAGAATGTAAGGCCGGTGCAGGGCGCATGCTTTTAATTCCAGCACTCAGAAGGCCAGATGTAGGCTGATCGTGTGAGACTGAGGCTAGCCTGGTCTACATGACAAGTTCCAGGCCCTCTAGGGCTGCGCTGTGAGACTCTGTCTAAACAAAACAACTTGTATTCATTAGGTATTACTCCCTGGCACCCACTAATCTGCTGTCCGAACGGAGGGACTGCCTACTGTGGATACTTCAGATGAACGGGATGATGTAATTAGTGTCCAGCAGCTTTTGCTCAGCGCCCTGTTTGCAGGTTTCATCCATGTGGCAGCATGTGTCAATGACTTCATTCTTTTTATAGTCAATAACATCCTATTGTACAGACAGACTGTATTTTGTTTATCCAGCCAGCCATTGATGACTACCTGAGCTGTTTCCATCTTCTGTCTATTGTATTCATGAGACTCGCTGGTCCAGACAGGTCGGTCCTTCCTAGTAGTTCTGGGAAGGGTGAGACCTAGGTTGTTCTGATCCAGGAAGCCCCTCTCTCAATTTCATTTTAGGTTGCACTCTCAGTATGAATGGCACCCACTGAATCTGGACAGTTCTCAGTGAGGTCTTGGGTTTCTTTGCCAGGGCATAGCATCCAGCCTTAAGTCAAAGCTTTGGAGACGGTTAATGTCTGCAGGACCACGCCTCTCCAAGGAAGCATTTGTATGCGGTGTGTGTGGGAACCTCTCTCACTTCACATTACAACACCCTTCCCTCGAACTGTAAATGAAATCCTTGAGAAGAGTCTGGTCAAATGCCAACCTTGCAGATCGGGAAAGTGATTATTATGAAAGTATTTGAGGTCTGGAGAGATGGCTTCTTACAGAGGGCTGGGGTTGGTTCCTAGCACCAATATGGAGGTTTACAACCAGGTAAAACTGTTCCAGGGTATCTGGCTCCCTCTTCTGGCCTCTGCAGGCAGCGGCATTTTACAAATGTAGGCAAAGCACTCAAACACATAAAATAAAATATTTTTTTTTAAAAAAAAACTTTTAACAACAGCAACAAAAGGGCATTTGAGATGGACACTCCCAAGAGTGATATACTGGCCAGTCCTACTTATGAACTTGTAAAAAATGCTGCCCGGGCTGGGGAGATAGCTCACTAGTTAAGAACTCTGGGTGCTCTTCCAGAGGAGCAGGGTTCCATTCCCAGTACCCACATGGTAGCTCACAACTGTCTGTGACTCCAGTTCCAGGGGATCTGACACCGTCTTCTGGCTTCTACAGACACTATACTCACATGGTACAGACATACATGCAGGGAAAACAAATCTTTTAGAAATGCCATCAGATTCTGACCCCATAGGGAAAACAATATCATATGCTTATAACCTGCCCTTTTAGGTCAGATTGTAATACAGATAAACCATAGCCCAAATCTTTCTTTGCAAGGCAGACCTGGTTTCCTCTGCATTATATTAAAAACTGTAAAAAAGACAAAAAAAAAAAGAAAAAAAGAAAAAGTCAGGTGGTATTGGCTATTGCCTTTAATTTCAGCACTTAGGAGGCAGAAGCAAGAGGATCTCTGTGAATTCAAGGCCAGCCTGGTGTACAGAGTGAGTTCCAGGACGGTTAGGGCTACACAGAGAAACCCTGTCTGGAAAACAACTGAAACAAAAAGCTGTAAAAAGGGACGGCCCGCTCACAGTGGGGACCTGAGAGGCAGCGTGCTGGGCTGCAGTCTGACCTAGACAGGGTGAGCGCCTGCACCTGAAGGTGCTACTCAGCAGGTGGCAAGGAGGCTCGGGACAGCGCCAGCCGCCAAAGGACAGTTTGTACCAGGGTAAAGGCTGGCTGCGGCTGCTGGCTGGATGCTTGGACGCCAAGGCAGATTCTAGAACCTAGCTGGGCCAACTGAGTACGTGAGATAGGAATTTGGAAACAGATAATTCCTGTAAGGAATTAAAATCTCAGAGACATAGGGAGTGGCTCATTTTCACCAAGAGCGTAAGGAGGCTGATGGTGGAATGAGAAAGATGAAGATCAGACTTGGTGGTGCATGCCTGTGATGCCGGCACTTGGAGGCAGAGGCAGGGGGATCTCGTGAGTTCACACAATAAAAACCTACAAAACCTTCTCTGTTTTCAGATCGGGCAGAATGGCCCCAGGGTTGAGTGCAGGAAGGGGAAGTGGCCGTATATGTTACAGCTATGTTTTCCTGTGTCTTTGAAATTTTGTGTGTCCCACCGTGTGTCCCTCCCACCGTGTGTGACCGGGTCTAATTCAGGTCACCAGGCTTGGTGCCTTTCTCCACTGAGCCATTTCAGTGGACTCCCTTTCTTTCTTTTTATATTTGAGGATTTTGTTGCTGTTTGTTTATTTTTTCAAAAGAGAAAAGTAAGGATGAGAGCCAAGTGTAGTTGTGCATGACTTTAATACCAACATTGAAAGGCAGAGGCAGGCAGATCTTTCTGAAGCCAGTCTAGTCATGTAGACTAGTGAGTTTTGGGACAGCCAGAGCTATACATTGAGACCCTGTCTCGGAAAAAGAAAACCAACCAAACGAAACAAAACTGAGAACGCAAAAGTCTTTGTCCTTGGAGATGGAGAACAACTACAGGTGGTTGGGGATGGGTGGGTGTGTTAGCGGTGCTGAGTGCTTAAACAGCGTAAACAGGAGTGAAACTCGTGGTGATTCCGATTTTAAATAGGGTGGTTCTGGGAACTCCTTGGTAAGGGGCTGATGTTTGGACAGAGCTCTCTAGAAAAGTGTGGAGGAAGGGCCGTCCTAGCAGCTGTTCCACAGGAGCCCAAAGCCTGAAGCAGGAGCAGCAGGAAAGCAAGTGTGTAGCCCGACAGAAGCTGGGCAGAAGTGGGGGGCCTGGGGGACAGGACAAAGAGAAAAATGGAGGGACGAAGCCGGTCTTCCAGCGTCTTCAAGGCTTTATTATACGACATGAGTGTGGTGGGCAGAGCAGGAACCCGCGTCTGTCATATGCATGCCATGCATCTTCCTGGGAGACACGGTCTCCAGAGCTTCCCAAAGACATTCAAAGCGCTCCTAGACAACTAAGAACAAACAGAACTTTCCTTGTCCTTAAAATTTCCCGCTACCCTGCCTCTGCAGGAAGAGGCGGGCACTGACAGCTTGCTTTGTTGCTATAACAACCTCTAGGGGCCCACACTCGCGGGCAACTCTAGCTGCTGGCTGAGGGTGAAGCCCAAGGTTGCTATCACAGGTGAGCCATGAGGATAAGTGTGTGTGGTGAGGGGAGCTCAGAAAGGACACCTAGCTGTCTGTGTCCTGTCCTTCCAGTGTCCACACTGCGCTCTCTCCTTTTTCTTTAGAAACAAAACAACCTGGGCAATCTTGTAAGCCTTTCCTTTCTGGTCTACTTCCATCTCTCCTAAAGTTCTGAAAAATGCAGGGACAAGAGTGGAATCTATGCCAGGCAGTGGTGGTTTAACCCTTTAATCCCAGGATTCGGAAGGCAGAGGCAGGCGGATCTCTGAGTTTGAGGCCAGCCTGATCTATGGAACAAATTCCAGAATAACCAGGGCTACACAGAGAAAACCTGTCTTGGGGGGGAAAAGGTGTCACAGATGAAGCGGTGACACTTGTTGACACTAGCGCTATGGGAGTCCCGTGCAGCCTTCCTCTACGATTGTGAGCAAGCCCAGGACACACTGTCACTTTGGGGCTAATATGGCACCGATATCTCCCTTGACTTTCGCTCATCTCTCATGTATTTTATTTTATTTTTAAATTTACATGTATGGATGTTTGGCCTACATGTATTTCTGCGCACAGCTCATGTGCCACCATTGGATTCCCTAGAACTGGAGTTAGCCACTGTGAGCTGGGTGCTGGGAACCAAACCAGGTCTTCTGCAAGAGCAGCCAGGACTCTTAACCAACCGAGCCATCCTCTCCTGCCCAGATTTCTGCTGTTTTGAAACAGTGGCTCACTCTGTAGCCCACGCCGACCTCGAACTCATGGGGATTCCTCTGCCTAAACGTTCCAACAGTTAGGATTCCAGGTTGCATTACTACTCCCGCGGTCCCTTTGTCCTTAGTTGAGGACCTAATGTGTGCAGGTACCGGCTGTGGTGAGAAACAGAAAAGACATTTTTCTGTCCTCTCTGCTGAGATGGTGGTAGTACTGTGCAGGGTACTCTCAGGGGGAAAAGGTGCTGCCAAGATTGATCTTGAAGAACATATAATGATATTGTAAATGCACATTGGTAACTCCAGTATTCTGCCAGCAGCAAAATTCTTTCATACTACTGACCCCTCTTTTCTCCCTCCTTCTCTCCCTCCCTCCACTCCCCTACTTTCTTGTCAAGACAGGGTTTCTCTGTGTAGTCCTGGCTCTCCTAAAGCTAGATCTGCAGACCAGGCTGGCCTTGAACCCGCAGAGATCCACCTGCTTCTGCCTCCCAAGGGCTGGGATTCAAGATGCACACACTGCTACACCCAGCCGCTGCTCCTCTCTCGAGGTTCCCACTCCCCATCTGAGGCCCTGCCAGGAATCCAGCCTGTGACTGTAGGGGCTCAGCAGCTAAGAACACTGGCTGCTGTCGCAGAAGATCCAGGCTCGATTTCTAAAATCCAAATGGGGGCTCATAACTGTCGGAACTTCAGTCGCAGGGGATCTGATGTTCTCTTCTGGAAAAGACAGAGGACCAGTTGGTAGGCGGCTTGCTTAGCATGCATGAAGCCTTGGTTTGACCCTTGAACTGCAGAAACCAAGCATGCTGGCACCTGCCTGCAATTCCAGCACTTTGGAGGTAGCGGTAGAAGGGTCACCAATTCAAGGTCATCTTGCATATTGAGCTTGAGGTCAGCCTAGCTACGTGAGACCCTGGCTCAAAAAAGAAAAGAAAAATAAGTCATTCTCAGCTACATTGTGAGTTTGAGTCTAACCTGTGGTACATGAAAGCCTATCAGAAACAGAGAGGCAGAGAGAATGAGTGAGTGAACTTGAGTGTGGCTGTGCATGTCTGTTTGCCCAGGCATGAACAACGTCAACCTGCTCTACATATGGAGTTCCAGGTCAGCCAGGGCTACACAGCAAGACTCCATTAAAAAAAAAAAATTGCCGGGCATGGTGGCGCACACCTTTAATTTTAGCACTGAGGAGGCAGAGGCAGGAAGTTCTCTGTGAGTTCAAGGACAGCCTGGTCTACAAGGACAGCTAGGGCTGTTGCACAGAGAAACCCTGTCTCGAAAAACCAAGAAAAAATAAAAAAATAAAAAAAAATAAGTGAAAGATTTTCAAAACTTTGTAGCAACAAAGTGTGAGCAAAGATTGGTTCCTTCTGTGGGGACAGAGGCTGTACAACTGCGCAGGTGGCAGACACGGTGGTGTTCAACCTGAAGCACACATTTTTGAGGCTGGCCCTGTGGGTAGATGCTGAGATCACCATGATGGGGGAGGGACTGGCCTGAGGTTGCTTTGATTGGCAGTACATGTGTGTGCTGCTGGTGCAAGATTTAATGGGAGTGAATTTGTGCAGCCTCAGAACCTAGGGAGTATACAGTATTATTTGTTGAGGAGGAACAGGGTTCCCCAGGATTTGGACAAGATCGTTTTTTATCACTCCTGAGCTGTCCGTGGGGACAGATGGAAAGACATGGATGTCCTCTCTGGAGATTCTGGGAGATATGAGGAGCACAAACAGGGCCTCCCAGACACCTGGAGGAGGCCCTGGCCGGGCCACCCACTGTTTCTTTATAGGTTCTAGCAGATAGAGCCATAGAAGAAGCTGACCAGGGGTTTGAGCTGAGTGGTAAAGCAAAGGTCAGGGGTCAGAGGTGGGAAGATGCTGCAGACTTTCCTACTGTGTTTATCTTGAGTTAAGGTCTCTCTGTATAGTCAGCCAGGGGTAGTTGGTCACCTTGGAATCAGCCTTTGTTATGTTTTGGTTTGGTTTGGTCTTTTTGAGATAGGGTTTCTCTGTAGCTTTGGAACCTGTCCTGGAACTCACTGTGTAGACCAGGCTGACTTTGAACTCACAGAGATCCGCCTGCCTCTGCCTCCCAAGTGCTGGGATTAAAGGTGCGTGCCACCACCGCCTGGCTGGAATCTGTCTCTAGAATTTGTAGGATTGCCCCAGTTGAAAGGCAGCCCTGAGCTTCACCATCTGTCCCATCTACCAGGTATGTAGGGCCAACAGAGCAGGCACTGGACCAGGGATGTCCTGCAGTTTGTGTGGAAGGCAACTGTCTGCCTGATAACCTTGGCCTCTCCTGGAGTGGTCCCAGCACTTGCCACCATCTGATCCTTCCTTCCTACTGGGCTTCTCTTCCATCAAAACCCATTCTAATTGGTCCTTCTAGTCACTAAGTATGTGACCATCATTCTTCCCTGATGTCATCACAAACCCTGGGCTCCTATTGGTCTCCTTGGATTCCAAAGTGATTGTGCCATCAATCCCCATAGAAGGGCCCCAGGAGAATGCAAAAGAGGGGACTGTCCTGGGTCAGTCCAGCACAGAAGGATCCCCACTGAGGGCTGCTCACCTGCCCTGGGGACTCAGAACACACATGACCTGCCCTACTAGAACTCTGGCAGGCACCTCCCCAGGAAGCCCCAGGATCCCAGAGATACACGGGATACACTGAGACCCTGATGCTCCTACCTCTCGCCAGCACCCTTCAACACCACAGAAGCAGCCAACATGCCAGTCACCAAGTGCCCAAGAAAATCAGAGCCCCTGTGGAAGGGGTGGGACTGGAAAGCCCAGAAGAATGGACTGAGGCACCAAGTATTTGCAGTGAATGGCGATCACTATGTGGGTGAATGGAAAGACAACTTAAAACATGGTGAGCAGGGGGTCCTCAAGGGGTCAGTGTGGGGTCAGAGTGGGTGGGCAAAGCAAAACAAAACAACCAGGAACTGGTAGCACACACCTCTAATCCCAGCACCGGGAGGCAGAGGCAGGTGGATCTCTGTGAGTTCAAGGCCAGCCTGGTCTACAAGGTGAGTTCCAGGACAGTCAGGCCTATACAAAGAAACCCTGTCTCGATAAAATAAATAAACAACAACAACAACAAAACCCGCAACCAAAAACAGTGTACAGAACTCACTAGGAGCATAAGTGGTGGTGTTCCCAATTCTCCTATCGGGTAAATGTTGATCAGGACAAGGAAGGGGCATTCCCATGCTTTGGTTCTGAGGCCCATCTCAGCCATGACTTCAGCCAAGCAAGGGTTTAGGGACATTGATAGGATAGAAGCCTTCAGAAACCAGCCCAAAGCTGGGGTTCTGGGGGTGGAGCTGGGCCCCTCACTGCCTTCTGATAGGCTGGCTGAGCCTGGGGCTGGTTGACAGAAAAGGTCAAAGTGATAAGAAAATGGCTTGCTGTAGGGGCTCTGGGCTTCAGACCCAGCCCTGATGCTCTGCAGATGGTGGAGCATAGGGCCTGGGCCTCAGAACACAGGTAGGACCAGTCCAACCCCCAAAAGTAACTCAGCTTCCGTGATTACTCCTGTGTGCCTGGGCTCAGGTCTGACCAGCAGGGGGCGAAGGTGTTCTGGTAATACACTGGGGCGGGCGGGGGTGGGAGGTGCGGGAGGCTTTATTAAAAGTCTTCAGAGTCTCACACTGCAGTCTTGCAATTCCAGACTTAACCACTGTCTTCTCCTGCCTTCCAGAGTTATTTACACTAGAAACCATGAGCCTGCAGTGTTATAATCCCAGTTCTATCAGCTACAGTCTGGAGGTAGTCTTTCCCATACTCTGAGCCTCAGTTTCCTCACCTGTTAAGTGGAAAGACTACCAGAGAGGAGAGGGAAGGGAGTAGAGATAGAAAACTGTAGGGAGCAGGGTGATGTTGGGACTGGGCAGAGAGGACAAGAATGAAGCGGCCAGGCCAGGGGTCTAAAGTTTAGACCTTAAACAGTAGAATTAGAGTTAGGTAGATTGGTATACCTTGCGGAGGAACAGACTAGAAGTCAGTGTAGCTGGAGCGGAGAGGGCAATGGGAGAAAGTGGGCCAGGATTGGTGTGGTTTTATTATTACAATTATTGCCTCAGGAGGCTGAGCCACCCTCTCTCAAACAAAAGAAAGTATGTGGGGGGGGGAGCCAGGGGTGATGGTGCATTCCTGTAGTCTCAAGCACTTGGAAGATGATGCAGGAAGATCACGAGTTCAAGTCCAGCTTCTGCTACACAGTAAGTTCAAGGTCAGCCTGAGCTACGAGAGACCCTATATCAAAACAAAGTTTATAAAGGAAGGAAGGAAGAAAAAGAGCAGTGGCCAGCTGTGGTGGCTCATACTTTTACTCCCAACACCCCAGAGGCAGAGGCAGGAGATCTCTGTGCATGTGAGTTCAAGACCAGGCTGGTCTACATAGAAAGTTCCAGGCCAGCTGAGCTGCATAATGAGATCCTGTCTCAAAAACGAAACAAATAAAACAAAGAGGGGTGGGGAGGGAGGAAGGGAAGAAAGGAGAGAGAATGAGAGAGAGATTCAGGTACAGCTAACTGTCCAACAAATATACTGTGCCTCATGGACCACTGTGAGACTTTTTTTTTAAAGATTTATTTTATGTGCATGAGTGTTCTGCCTTGATGTATGTATATGGACCATGTGAGTGCCTGGTACCCAGGGAGATCAGAAGAAAGCATTAGATCCCACTGGAACTGGATTTACAGGTGGTTGTGCATGCTGGGAACAGAAGCCAGGTCCTCTGCAAAGGCAGCAAGTCCTCTAACCGCTGACCCATCTCTTCAGCCCCAAGCTTTGTCTGTCTTTATTACAGGACACACATTGTTGAAAAGAAGGGAACAGGCTAGTCAGCACTGTGTGCCAAACATGTGCTGGATGAAGGGTGAGTCTGCCCTTGTCAGGAATAACCTAGATCAAATTTTTATCTCACAATGTGAATATTTTATTTCACAATATTTCAAATATTGTTAGGCAGATGTCCTACCACTGAGATATGACCGAAGTCCTACTTGCTCTAGATTTAAAAACCCAAGGGTTGGGCCCAGGAGATTGCTCAGAAGTTAAGAGTAAGTATTATTCACTGGTCTCAGTGGTGCACACCTTTAAGCTGAGCATGCAGGAGGCAGAGGCAGGTAGAGCTCTGAGCTGGAGGCCAGCCTGGTTTACATAGCAAGTCTTAGGCCATCTGGGGATACACCGTATAATCATATCTCAACAACAACAAAACAAGCAAGAAAGCTGAGAATATGAATTCAGTTCCCAGCACCCACATCCAGTGGCTCACAATCATTGTAACTTCACCTCCCAGGATTATAACACCCTCTTCTGGCCTCTACAGGTACTACATTCACATGACATTCACACAGGCACATAAAAATAAATCTCTAAAAATAAATACTATTTTATAAATAAAATTTAAAATCCAAGGGCTAGGAGTGTAGCTCAGTGCTTGTCTTACCAAGTTTCTATTGTGATGAAACAGCACAGACCAAAGCAACTTAAAGAGGAAAGGGTTTATTTCTGTCTGTCCTTCCACGTTACAGTTCGTCAGGACAGGAGTTCAAGGCAGAAACCTGGAGGCAGGAGCTGATGCAGAGGCCATGGAGGATGACTTCTGACTGGCTTGTTCTTGGCTTTCATTTTTTTTAAAAAATTATTTACTTTGTGTGTGTAAGTCTTTTACCTGTTTGTATGTATGTATGTATGTATGTATGTATGTATGTATGTGCACCATATTCATGTCTATGGAGGACTGTAAGACAAGGGTGCTGGGAACTGAACCCTGTTGCTCTGTAAGAACAGCAAGGGTGCCCAACCATTGAGCCATCTCTCCAGCTAAACCACCCCTAGCCTGCTTCCCCTCCGCCCACAGCACCCAGGAACACTAGTACAGGGGTGACAGCATCCACAGGGAGCTGGGCCTCCCCACACCAGTCATCAATCAAGAAGCTGCCCTGCAGGTTTGCTCACAGGTCCAATGTGATGGGGACACTGTCGCCCCCTTCAAAAGTCACTCTAACTCATGTCAAGTCGCTAACGCAAAACCAGCTAACACAGTGATAGACACTTGCCTGGCACTGGTGAAGCCCTGCACTCAGGAGGCAGAGGCAGGCAGATCGCTGTGAGTCCAAGGCCAGCCTGGTCTACAAGAGCTAGTTCAAGACAGGCTCCAAAGCTACAGAGAAACCCTGTCTTGAACCCCCCTCCCTCCCAAAAAAAGCAGGAATACCTTTTCCAGCTAGCCCTGGGGCCCCTGCCAGCAACTTTTGATTCAACTTTGTTTAGGGAATGAGGAAGGGACAGAAAATTCTGGCCTGCTAATGAGCCAGCAGGGGAGAGGAGGAAAGATCCACGCAGACTTGACATGGATACTTGCTTCCAATGCTGTCTTTCATGGTGACTCATTCATTCGTTCATTTGTTCATTCATTCCTTAGATTTATTCATTGCAATCAGACTGACTATGGCCAGGAATAGTAGCAATAATAGCCGTAATCTAAATCCTTGAGAAGCAAAGATTCAGGAAATAGGCAGAGGATTATGAGTCCAAGGGCAGCCTGGGAAATAGGATAAGATCTTGTCTCAAAAATCCATAATATGGGAGCGATGTAGCCGTCAGTTGATAAATGGCTTCCCCGACATTCATCCCAGTACTGGATTCGAATCCCAGTACAGCATAAATCTAGGCATGTGTGATGTGTACAGGTGAGGCCAGGCATTGCCACAGCATGTGTGTGGATGGTAAACGAGAGACGTTTGGATTCCGGGGCTGAAACTCTAGTCACCAGGCTGGCGTGGCTGAGCCGTCTCTCCAGTATGATGCAGTTATTAACTTAATCACAATGCTGTGCATTGGTCCTCTGAAACGTGGACCCCTTACGCTGAAAGCCTTTGACCCACATCTCCCTCTTTCTCTCCTCCCAGCTCCTGGTACCCATCATTCTGTTCTCTGTTTCTGAGTTTGGCTTCTTGAGATTCCACATAAAAGTGACATCCCTTGGTATCTGTCTTCCTGAGTCTGGTTTATTTCTCTTTTTTTTCTTTTTTCTTCCCGAGACAGGGTTTCTCTTTGTGGTCCTGACTCTCTTCCTGGAATTCACTCTGTAGACCAGCCTGGCCTTAAACTCAGAGATTCATCACCTCTGCCTCCTGAGGACTGGGATTAAAGGCGTGCGCCACCACTGCCCGGCTGTTTCACTCATTTTTAATGTTCATTCATGTTGTAAATAAAAGGATTTCTTTTTTCTTTGTTTCTCTGCTAGGATGCAAACTCATGATCTCACACACTGTTTCCCAGCCTCTTTTTACTTTATCTTGAGACAGGCTCTAGAAACTGCCCCGGCTGGCCTGGAGCTTAGCATCCTCCTGCCTCAGCCTCACCTCTACTTGAGGTTTACCCTAACAGTTTAGCTGTTAGACAGTGGGCAGGAGAATCACTGTTTTAGCCATGGAACTTTCTTTTCTTCTTAATGCTTACAGTCTAATGATGAGGTACAAACCCTATTCCAGTTCTGAAGAAACTGTTCAGGGCAGAAGTCCCTGAGGTCTGTACCAGCATATGGCCTTCAGCTTCCGGATGGCAACGGTCTGCAGTGTTGGCCCATCCATGTGTTACCAGGGAAAGGAACACAGGTCTGGAAGAAGAGCGGCGCTACCTATGAAGGGGACTGGAGGTTTGGGAAGCGAGATGGCTATGGCACCCTCAGCCATCCCGACCCAGAGACCGGAAAGTACAGAAGGTTGTACTCAGGCTGGTGGAAAGGTGACAAGAAATCGGTGAGTGGGTGCCTTGTTTGTAGGCAAGGCTGAGCGCAGAGCTCTGTCTGTCTGTCTGTCTGTCTGTGTGTGGGGGGTAGGCGGTGGACCTAGAGCCAGGAGGACCAGTAGTTTGGTGGGTGAGAGAAGGAAGGGGTGGGGGAGTTGTAGTGCTTCTCAAAACAAAACCAAGAAAACAGGAAGCAAGAGGAGCAGGGGGCCCCAGGGAGGAACCTTTAAAACTCTAAGGCTGCTAGGAGGCAGCAGGCAAGGTCTCCTCCACCCTCTTCCCCCTTATTTCCTGGCTTTCTTCTCCATGGTACTCCATTATGAGTCTCCTCCTTTTGGCTTAATTCAGATGGAAGGTGAGGAAGCAAGGTGTAATGAGGTCAGGGTCAGGCCTCAATCTCAGCATTCTGGAGGTGGAGGCAGGAGGATAGCATGTTTGAGGCATCCTGGCTACACAGAGAGACCATGACTGGAAAGGGAAGGGGGTAGAAAACAGGGAGTGAGAACAGAGTTCACATCCTCAGCCATAGGGCAAGAGCAGAAGAAGGGGGTAGAAGCTAGCCAGAGGGAAATCCCTGTCCATTCTGCAGACATATTACTCATGCTGGCTATGGAGCCTGGTGATAACAGTGTTGCTATTGGGCACTTACTGTATGTGGTACTTGAACTGACTCTTGTAACAGTTTATCACCTTTAGTATTCCATTTTACTAACTAGGGACTTCTAACTAAGCCAAGTTTCAGAGCCCAAGATTTCATATTCTTTGCTCCTAGAGGGAAGACAGCCTAAAGCTAAGGATTTGCATTTAATGTAGCCTTAACAGTGGCTTCCCTGGGCTTGGGAGATCGTGTTATCTAGCTTAGAAAATACAGGGCAGGTCATACCCAAAGAAGCAAGGAGTTAGCCAGGTAGACCTGTCAACGGGGAGGAAGAAATAAGAAAGATGTCGAATAGCAGGTCATGTCTTCCCTGGGGAGGGCAGAGTTGGATGGTGACGCTACGGACTATAAAATATATAGTCCTTCTGGGGCAGCACGGAGGGTGAGCGGAAGTGGCGCCAGAGATAAGGGGACTACGGAAGAGGGGAAGAGAGAAAACCGACCCGGGCTTTAGGAAGGCGGTGCACGTGATGAGTCGAAAGACGGTGCTAGAATCCTAGAATTCTTTCCCTTCTGCTTGGATGGATGGCGATGCGAGGAAGCTCAGGTATGAGACTTGGGTAACCTGGCAAATGGTGGGACATCTTCCTTCTTTCAGGGCTATGGGATCCAGTTTTACGGACCCAAGGACTATTATGAGGGTGAGTGGTGCAGCAACCAGCGCAGCGGGTGGGGACGCATGTACTACCGCAATGGCAACATCTACGAGGGCCAGTGGCGGAACGACAAGCCTGAAGGGGAGGGCATGTTGCGGCTGAGTGAGTGCCCCGCCCCGTGAAACCACGCCCCAATGCCTCTTGGCCCTGCCCCTTCCCGGAAAGATCTCACCCCAGACTCCCTGCCCCACCTGCCAAGTCCCCCGCAACACCAGCCTTGTTGGCCCTATAAAAGTGAGATTCCAACTTCCAGTGAGCTCCAACTCAGCTGAGACCCTGGGGCAGGAGGAAGGCTTTGGCGGTCGGTCAGTCAATCTGTCTTGTTGTCCCTATATGCCTTAGCAAAGTGTGTCTCCACTATGTGTAACTTGCATTCAGGGTCACTTGCTGAACGGAGCCAATGTTCTAGGCGTGTCATTTCTCATGGCCTGGGCTCTGGGCAAGCTTACATGAATTCAGATCTCGGTATGAGTCCGTACTAGCGCTGCGGCCCCAGGCAATTTGCTTGCAGAGGGCCTGGGAGATGGCTCAGTGAGTAGTGGCACTTCCACACAGACCTGCCCACCTGAGGCTGGTCCTGGGCCCATGAGGTGGGAGGAGAGAACCCACTGCCCAGAGCTGTCTCCCCACCTCTACTCATGCACCATGACACACAAGTGCCCGTACTTAACACAAGCACACTGAAAAGTAAAAGTGGGATCAGCAGCGCTGCTTTGACTTAAAGGCCAGCCTGAGATAGTCAGGTGGCAATGCTGTCTCAGAAGATACAACTTCCATAGCTTTCATCACAGGACTTAGGAGGCAGAGACAGGCGGAGCTCCTGATTCCTGGGGTGTAGAGCACTTGCCTAACATGCTCAAAGCCCTAGCACTGCAGAAGTAAAAAAACAAAAGCAACAACAAAACCATAAACTGGAACTAGAGCTACAGCCCCGAGGCTGAGTGTGTGCATGCATGCTACAGCCTGAGTGTGTGCATGCATGTGCCATGTTCTGTCTCCAACACCAAAAAAGTTAACCCTCTTGAAGTAGTCAAGGTAAAACGCTGTTTATGCTGGTGTGGAGCTGGATGCTACACCTGCTGTCTAGCGCCTGCCTAGTGACTCTCTATGCTGGGGTGGAACTATTGTCTAGCGCCTAGTGACTCTCTAGCATACCCGTGGTCAGCAGCTAGACAGGTGAGGCCCAGCCTGATAGTCCTGACTGCTGCCCTGTGCCCAGCACCCAGGCTTGCCTGTCCTCCTGTCCTTTCTCTAGAGAATGGGAACCGATATGAGGGCAGCTGGGAGAGAGGCATGAAGAATGGGCATGGGCGTTTCTTTCACCTGGACCATGGGCAGTTGTTTGAAGGCTTCTGGGTGGATGACGTGGCCAAGTGTGGTACCATGATTGACTTCGGCCGTGATGAGGCCCCGGAGCCCACCCAGTTCCCCATTCCTAAGGTGGGTGAAGCCAGAGGACAGAAGCAGCATCTGTAGTCCCACTGTCCAGGAACTAGAGATGAGCTTTTGTTTTACTGGGGTTTTGTTTGTTTTGGTTTTGTTTTGTTTTTTGTTTTTGTTTTTGAGATAGGGTTTCCTCTGTAGCTTTGGAACCTGTCCTGGAACTCACTCTGTAGATCAGGCTGGCCCCAACCTCACAGAGATCCACCTGTCTCTATCTCCCAAGTGCTGGGATTAAAGGCATGAGCCACCACCACCTGGCTGAGGTTTTGTTTTCAAGCAGAGCATCTCTAGCAAGGTAGCCTGGGGTCTTCCATGCCCTTAAACCAACCAACCAATCCTCTCCCCCTGTTGCTCTCCAGGTAGAGATTCAAGACCCAGACGGTGTGCTGAAGGAAGCAATAGCTGCGCTGATGAACTCGGAGGATGAAGAGGACTGACGTCCGGTAAGAAGACACATCTGCCATCTCTGATCTCAGAATCTGAGGCAGCTTTGCATCCCTGAACACTGCTGATCTGGTATCACTGAGAGCAGGACCAGAGAGGGAAAGCTTCCTGCTTTTCCTTCTATTCCCCTTTGAAGCTCATGTTCCTAGAAGAGCAAGTGCATTCCAGGCCTTCCCAGATCTCTCAGTTGCATTCTCAGCCTCCTGAGGTGAGCACTGAGCTGGTCAGGTGGTCCCTTCTAAAGATCCTTAAATAAGGCAGTGGGTCCTAGGCCCGCACTGACACAACTGTTTCTGGGGCCTTGCCTGGAGTGGCTGAGAGGCTTCAGGGAGAGGGTGCTGACGACAGTGGATCTGTTTTGTTTTAGATGATTGTGTTTCTAATACTAGTTCCAGCAGCATCCCCACCTGTAGAGAGCACATCAAGTCTCAGGAGAAACGCCAGCCCTTGTCACCAAACTGCTCAGACCGGTGCAGCTCCTGCAGAAGCAAGCGACTCTGGGCACGCCCTTGGCTCCCTCAGAGGGCACCTACTCCTCCAAGACACTAGGTTATTCTTTGCCAATGGAGGTGCGGTATTACTTCTCCCTGGCTGGCCTTGGGGACACACTTGTTTAAAGCCTTTGCCCTATGCCTTTATATCAGAGGACATGAAAATAAAGAAGAACCTGGTGGCCTTGCTCCAAGGACCTATGGCTTGAGCAGGGGTGGGAGGAGTTGGATGGGGAGGAGAGGCAGCCTCACCAACTGTGTGGGTCCCCCCAACTGTGTGTGTGTGTCGGGGAGTTGAGGGTTCAAGGCAGGGGAGCAGGGAAGCAGCTTCAGTTCTGCTGCATCTGAGCCAGCCAAGAGCAGAGAGTGAGCCTGCCCTCTCTGCCACAATGGTCACCAAGGTTTGAGATTGAAGCAGGTCCCCACCTCCTTAGCCTATCACAGGAATCTCAAGGAAGCTTTACAAACCATGAGTATACAGGATGGTTGTTGCAGCCCATGCCCTAACAACAAATATTTGGAAGCAGAGGCAGGGGGATCTGAGTTTGAGGCCAGCCTGGGCTACACACTGAGTAGGGCAGTATCATGAGATCTCATGGTAAAAAGACAGTGGTTTAAAACCACTGAGCAAGAATCCTTTCACCTGGCTCCTTGGGGACGTTTGGTTATGCTTGGAGACACTCCTGGTTGTCATGGTGACAGAGAGCCATGCTAATGGCATCTTAGGGCAGGGATGTTGTCAAACATGCTACTTTTTTAAGTTTTAGTTGGTTTGTTTGTTTGTCTATTTCTTTGTTTTTCTGAGACAAGGTTTCTCTATGTAACAGCTCTGAGGTTCTGGAACTCACTATGTAGACCAGGCTGGCCTAGAACTCACAGAGATCTGCTTGCCTCTGCCTCCTCTACCACTATGCCCAGCTCACCATGCTACATTATAAACCGATTACAAAGGAATACTTCAGCTCAACGTCTGTCTTTAAAGCTCTTAGCAAATGCCCCAAACTCAGTGAGGCATGGCGGCTCACAGCTATAATGGCAGCCCTCTGGAGGTGGAGGGGAAAGAACCATTAAGGGTTTGACACCAGTCTGCTCAATGGTGAGTACAAGCGTGGCCCCAACAAAGCAGAAAAGCTCACACTGACATCATGAGGTTTTCCTCCGCCCCTAAATTCTAAGTATGCTGACCTACCTCAGTGTAAGTGGTATTGACTGCACCTGACTCCAAGATAGACATGCTAAGTGTGCTTACACTGTCCCAGACTGGGTGTGGACAGCTTCAGCTGCTTCTCCTGTGACTCCCTAACCTGTGAGGTGACATACTGTTCTCTGCTGTTTTAGAGCAAACAGGTTTGTAAGTCCCCAAGCTAATACTGTGCCTAACCTAATTGTTTTGCTTTTCAAGACAAGGTTTTAGCTCTGACTGTCCTGGAACTTACTCTATAAACTGGCCTTGAACTCACAAAGATGTACCTCCCTCTGCCTCCCAAGTGCTGGGATGTGTGCCACCACCACCTGGCCCTATATTCTTTCACTTTTGTGTGTTTGCCTGCACATACCATGTCTGGGTACTGTGTGCAAGCCTGGTGCCCAACGTGTTACAAATGGTTGTGAGCTGCTACATGGGTGCAGGGAATCTAAACAGGGTCCCAGAGAACAGCAAGTGCTCTTACCCATAAGCCATCTCTCCAGCCCAGATCTCTACATTCACAGATAGTGAAGTATATGGCTTCTTCACAGGCATAATGGTGCAAGCTTTAATCCTAGCATTTGGGAAGCAAAGGCAGACAGATCTCTGTGATGCCAGCCTGGTCTGGTCTACATACTGTATACCTCAAAAAGGGGTGGGGTTTGAGGAAATACTTATAAAAATAGAGACAAGGTTTCTCTAGTTTTTGGTGCCTGTCCTGGAACTAGCTCTTGTAGACCAGGCTGGCCTCAAACTCACAGTGATCGGCCTGCCTCTGCCTCCCAAGTACTGGGATTAAAGGCGTGCGCCACCACCGCCTGGCAAGAATGACTTTTGACTTTTGAGACAGGGTTTCTCTGTGTAACAGCCCTGTCTGTCCTGTAACTCACTTTGTAGACCAGGCTGGCCTTGAATTTAAGAAAACCGCCTGCCTTTACCTCACAAGTGCTGGGATTAAAAGCATGTACCACCAGTTTAAGAACAATTTTTTACTGTTGAATTTGGAAGTGAATAATCTACCATATCCAAAATAAAAATAAATCTGAAGCAGAGAGACTGTTTTTATTTAATCATCTACTTTGGTGCTGAGATAGAACACAAAGCCTGGTGTAGACTGAGCGAATGCTCTACCGCTGAGCTACACCTCAGCTCTGAGACAGGGCTCTTAAGGAGTATTCACTCCAGGTGCCTAGGTACTTGTTAGAAACAGATTCCAGAGACCTACCCAGACCAACCGCCAACCTGAATCAGCTCATGGCAGACGGTGATGTTTGGGGATCTACATTCTACAAGTCAGCTGGGTGATTCTTGATCCAGACACATTCAGAAAACATTATAGACTTCAGAGTCATTGTCCAGGAGTAATTCCGGCAGGATCCTAGGTTCCTAGAGAAGCAGGAAGGTGATTTAAGTGATAGCCAGGCTTCTCTGGGGAGCAGAGGTAGCACTTGGGATCCTCCCCAGTCGTACCTAGCATCTCTCGAGGATGGTCCTTGTGCAATGATGCCGAGATGCAGGATGGATGCGAAGTGACGGAAGCATGACAAATAGTAGGCCCCTAAGCTACTTTATAGGGCCTGGGGATACAGCTCAGTGGTAGGATACCTGCTTATTATGCACGATGCCCTTCATTTGATTCTCAGCACCATTAGAAGGCAAACAAAACCACGTTATATATTGGAGCTTCAGGGCAGACACATCTCAAACTCAGGGCCTGTGGGAATCAGGTATGTAATGTCTTTACATTTATCGTGACCGTGTCTGCACGTTCCATATTGCATGTGTGGAGGTCAGGGGAGAACTGTTTCCTCCTGCCTTGTGGGTTCAGGGATATGAACTCAGGTGGTCAAACTTTGGGACAGCTCCTTTATCTGCTGAGCCATCGGATAGCCCAAGGGAGGTCATACTAAGTGGGCCAGTGTGAAACACAGGGAGTGGTGAGGGCTGTGGTAAAGATAGGCCCTGCTCAGTGTAGCTTTGCAAGGCAGGCCCAGAGCCCCTGCCCCTTCCCATTCTTCAAGCAACGCCAGACCCTGCCTGGGTAAGATTCTTTCGAGGCCCAGCTCTGAGGCACCTTCCAGGTTTGAGTTCTGGCAAGTTATTGTGACAGATACTTAATCTTCACTGTCAACTTGACTGGATTAGGAAGAGCCCAGGGGATTAGTAAAGCACCTTGGGGACCATGCGAGCATTCCCAAAGACGATTAGCTCACAAGGTCTCTGACCTAATCAATGGCAGGGAGTCATGGCTCTCTGGCCAGCATGCACGACAGCATTATTGGGAGGTGGTGAAGGATGGGAGGCGGCGCTTGACGGGAAGGTCACTGGATGTAAATCCTCGGGGACTGGATCTCGCTGTGGTCACTTCCTAGGTCCACTTGTTTGACTCTTGGCTGCCATGACACAAGTTAATGTCTCTGCCGTACCCTCTTCATCAAGACAGACTGACACATCCGAGACCGCTAGCTGACACCAGTCCTCTGAGCTGCCTTTTTGTCCCTCCCTGGTCACGTGATGCAAAGGCCCACTACATTAGCTTCCTTGAGCATCAACTTTGTTTCCTGCAGTGAAGATTAACGTGCTGAGAACGCTGAGGGTCCAGTGAGCAGCACGCAGTACTTACAACACCCCACACATAATGGCTAAAACTATCCTTGAAAAAAAGCTGTGGGCTGGACAGATGGCTCAGTGACAAAGCACCGGCTGCTCTCACAGAAGACCCATGTTTTGTCCCCAGCACCTACATGGTGGCTCACAACTGAAGTCCAGGTCTCAGGTGATGTGGCACCCTCTTCTGCCCACCAAAGGCACCAGGCATGCATGTGGCACACATACATACATGCAAGCACTCACACATGAACATTAAAAAAATTTTTTGCTTTGTTTTGTTTTTTGAGACAGGGTTTCTCTGTGTAGCTTTGGTGCCTGTCCTGGGATGTCGCTCAGTCCCTAGGGAGTCTGTTTAGCATCCAGGAGGCTCTGGTTTGTCTGTTCCCCAGCTCTGGTATGGTGGGACACCTGTCACCACAGAACATGGGAGACAGAGGAGTATCAGCTGCCCAAGGTAATTCTCCATTATATAGTAAGTTCGTGGCTAGCCTGAGCTACATGAAACCATCTTAATAAAACCCCCAAAGGTTCGGATTGGCAAAGGCAAGTCAAGCAACTGTTTCAAATTAAAGTAGACATTAAGCGACAACTCTAGTACACATGGGGTAGAGAAATGGACTGCTACAAGTAGGGAACGGAACTTGAGTATCAGGAAGTGACTGCAGTGTACTCCTGTACAATCCAATCTCCTGTATCAGGAGAGAGGATTTAGGGAAAGCAGAACACTCGCCTAACATAGAAGCAGCCCTAGGTTTGACCGCATCCCGTGAAGTGGATGTGTGGCGCACAGTTAATTCCAGCATCTGGACGGTGGGTGTTCCTGAAAGACAAGTTCAAGGCCAGCTTTGGCTACTTAAAATTCTGTTTTCAAGTTTTGTTCATTTTGTCTTTTTAATTTGATCAATGAGTTATGGCTATGTAAAGGCTTTGTTTTTAGATCATATTTAAGTTAACAAGGATAGCTGTGTATCTGTGTGAGCATATATCATATGTATGCTGGTGCCCAGTGAGGCCAAAAAAAGGGGGTCAGATCCCCTGAAGCCGAAGTTCCAGGCAGTTGTTAGCTGTCCTATGTGGGTGCTGGAAAACTGAACTTCGGTTTTCTGGAAGAGCAGCAAGTACTCTTAACCACTGAGTCATCTCTCTGGCCTTGAGTCTTTTGTTTATTTTTTGTTGTTTTTTTAAAGACAGTTTCTCTGTTTGGCCCTGACTATCTTGGAACTTGCTCTGTAGACCAGGCTGGCCTCAAACTTAGAGATTCCCCTGCCTCTTCCTCCAGACCGCTGGGATTAAAGGCGCGCATCACCACCACCCAGGTCTCTTAAAATTCTTTAATGTGTACGTTTTTGCCTTGCCTGCATGCCTATGAACCACATGTGTGTCTAGTCCCCATAAAGGTCAGGAGAGGCTGTTGAATCTCCTGTAATGGAAGTTACAGGTGGTTGTGAGCTACAACAAGGTTGTCAGGCATCAAACCCGGGTCTTCTGGAAATGCAGTCAAGTGCTATTAAGATCTACCTACCTCTGCCTCCCAAGTGCTGGGAGTAAAGGTGCGTGTTGTCACTACCATGCAAAGGCAAAGGCGTCTTTTATCCAAACAAAGTTACATGTCTTGGAATATAGCTCAGTGGAAGAGAGCCGGGTCAAGTCCTGAGTTCCATGCCCAGTAACACGATTTTTGTAGAGGTTGGCGGTCTGAGGCCAAGGCTTTGGCTCTATGGAGCTAGGGTTCTGTCCAAGCCCCTTTCCTCAATTTTCAAAAAGATTGTTTAGTGGATCAATTGACTAGAACATTCTATAACACAGTCTAGACCCAACAAACACAGACACGAGGAAGAGGTGTCCCTTGTGTGAATATTTTATGTGACACGCCCATGAGCACGCGCACGCGTGCGCACACATCTCACACACACACACACACACACACACACACACTCACTCACTCACTCACTCACACGAACTGGGAAGGAGGCTGAGAAGGACAGGACAGGAAGCATCCGGGTGGCACTGGTGCGGGGGAAGAGAATTGGACAAAGAGCATCTGTCCCACACCACCCCCACATCCTACCAGGAGGGGGACCCAGAGCTGGAAGAACAGGGAGTGCTTATTCTCACAGAAGAAAGTCTCAAAGTGCAGTGATTTTTTTTTTAAAGCCTCTTCCCTCCGCACTCCGCCGTGGTGAAGCCCAGCCGCCTGCACAGGCTGTCCTCCAGAGCGGGCCAGGACAAGGTCATGGGAAGGGCGTTAAGGCGAAAGCTCCAAAGTTCCCCAGGGCCAGTGGGAAGGCAAAGACTCAGGCGTAATGGGTGCCGGGTGTTAAAGAATGGTCCCCTCTGTGGTCCAGCTGGTCCTGCAAGCGGGCAAACTCTGCCAGCTCGTTGAGCTCCTGGAACTGCCGGTCTGTCTTATGGCTGACCAGTGAGCGGTAGAAGTGAACGGCAAAGACGATGAAGACCAGGCCACAGGGGACCATGATGGCGGTAGAGGCGATGGCGGCCGCCTCACCCGGGGTGATGCCGCTGCTGTTGGCGACCACGGCTGCTGACTCGGGAGGGGGCTTGGTCGGGCTTGGCTGACCGGAGTGTCTCTTGAGGGGTAAGAATTTGACCCAGCAGAGCAGCACCACCTCAGCCAGGAAGAGCAGCGTCCCGATGACGGTGGAGAAGGCCCAGGCCAGCTCGATGTGGCGGTGCATGCGCTCGTGCGGCGACTCTTTGACCGAGTTGAGGTTGTGGACGTTGCTCACAGCCTCAATGTTGGGGAGGATACAGGTGCTGATCATGAGCGCGAACAGATGCACGGCCACCAGCACCGTGGTACAGGCGCTGAAGACAATGAGCAGCCCTGGGGGATAGTCATGGTCTGTATCCAGCTGGACTTCTACCATCGCCACCTAGGAGAGGGAACAGGGAAGTGAGTAGCAGGCCATTTCTGGGAATGATAAAGCCCTACCCACTCCAAGGAGAGAAGTAGCAAAAACTACTGACGAGGACAGCAAGAATGAATCCATTAGCTGTGTGTCCTTAGGAAGTCAGTGTCTCTGAGCCTTACCATATAGAAAATAAGTGTGACCTATTAATTCACAGAATTATTTTAACAATCATGAGAGTTCCTGGCGCACAATAAACATCTTCCAAATGGGAACGCTGCCGTTGATCGGAGACAGGGAAGATGGTAAAGTATATTATACATACTGTAATTTTTTGTTGTTGTTTGTGTTTTTTCAACAGAATCTCTCTGTAGACCAGGCTGACCTCAAACTCAGAGATCCATTTGTCTCTGCCTTGAAGTGTGTGTGGGGAGAACACAGTTTTTTCCTCCTATCGTGGATCCTGGGAATCAAACTCAGCTTGATAATCTTGGTAGCTGGTACTTTCACCTGCTTAACTATCTCTCCAGATCAAGGAAACTTTAAAATACCTTAGAAATAAAATAAGTCAGGGTTGGAGAGATGATTCATCGATTAAGAGCAGTGGCTGCTCTTACAGAGGATCCAGGTTCAATTTCCAACACCCACATGGCAGCTCACAACTTTCTATAACTCCAGTTCTAGGGGATCTGGCACCTTCACACCAATGCATATAAAATAAATTTAAAATAATTAAAAAAAAAATCACAGGACAGTGGCGGCACACACCTTTAATCACAACACTCAGGAGGCAGAGGCAGGTGGATCTCTGCGAGATTGAGGCCAGCCTGGTCTGCAGAGCCAGTTCTAGGGCAGCCAAGGCTATACAAAGTAATCTTGTCTTGAAAAAAAAACAAAACAAACAAAAACAAAACAAAACAAAACAAAAAACCCCAACAACTACCATCCACTACTTCATCTGTCATATTAAAACAGAACTCTATTTCATGTCCTGCTCGGGGACAAGGAACAGATTAGAAGCTAGAGAAGTGAAGGCCTTCTCACGTCACATCTAGGTCCCTTCTGAGAACAGAGTGCACAGGCCAACAAGGAACCAAGAGAGGCTTCTCAGAACAGATTCAACCCTGTGCCTGTATCTTGTCTGGCTCAGCAGCCAGCAAGCCCCACGGCCATGTCCTTTAGCCCAAGGGCTCAAACACCAGCTCCCCAAGTTCCTGGAGACTTGAGAATTTGGGGTTACTAGGGTCATACTCTGGGCCTGCCACCTGTTCTTTACACCTGGGTCTTGCAAACCACCATCCTGCAAAGGAGCCAGCTCATCAGATTTGGGCAACTGGTTGCATTGCCAGGGTCTGCCCATGTGGGCTCGAGGGTCAAGGGCAGCAAAGAGACAGGGGAAATGACGCCTTCATCAAGGAAGTCTGGGGAAACTTGGTAGAGTGCTTGCTTCTCATGCACGCAGCCCTGTTAATCCCCAACACTGCTATACTATAGACTATGTGTGGTGGTTCATGCCTGTAATCTCAGCACTGGGAAAGTAGGGGCAAGACCATGAGAAGCTCAAGGTCATCCCTGGCTACACAGCAACTTCAAGGATACCCTGAGCTACACAAGACCCCGTCTTTAATGAGAAAATAAAACAAAATGATGGTAAATGCAGGTGGTGCGGACAAACCTTTAAAACCTGGGGTCACAGTAAAAATAGGTTTTATTAGTACTCGGTTTAAACTCTCGGTTCCTATCCCAGTCTACCTGAAATCCTGTCGTTCTCACCCTCCTGCTGGAGAGACAGGCTCGGCTCCAGGGAAGCAGGTCACCAGTGCACCTGGCTCTCAAGTCAGAGCCATTCCAAGTCCCCCTATAGAGCTTCTGTCCAGACCCAAGAATCTTTGTAAGACAGAGGGGTGACCAGGATCAGAGCAAATAGATAGCCCAAGAGTCTGGGGAAAGGAGTGGATGCTGCAGTCAAACAACCAGAACACTTCAACAGGATTTAAAGGTTTTTGCCTAAGAATTGCCACAACTAGCAAGGATACGGATGCTCCAGCCTGAGAATTTATAAAACGGTTCAAGTTCATGTAAATTTGGGGCACTGCCATGAGGCATTTGACTGTTGTTTAAGATTCCCTGGTGGCCTAATGCCAACCCTGAGAATTCTTCTGAGCCCATGCGGGCAAAGGAGGTGGGCAACTCAGTACATGCGGGTGAGGGGCATGGAAGAGCACAAGGCAAGGTACATCTTGAGGCTCTGACCCAGTCTCTACCCCTACCTGGAGGAGCCTGGTACCCTCAGCAGCCGCACCTCCGGCCACCTCCCCACCCCCACACTTCCTCTTCCTGTTTTGGCCTGCTGTTCCGTATACTGAAACCTGAGAAAGGACAAGCAGGAGAGGCTGGAGGAGCCACAGATCCACTTGCTCCGGCCGGCTGGGGTGGAGGGGAATGTGCAGAGCTGCCCTGTGGGGCTGGTGCCCTGTGGGGCTGGTGCTGGGGGTGTTTATGGTCAGTTTGTGTACTTTCCTGCATCCCAGCAACCTTCACGTGGCATTCTGCCCCCCTCTGTGGAACGTCAAGCACACAGACCCACAACACAAAGCTGACTGTGAAACCTGTGCCTCAGCCTACAAAGCTGGTCACCCTGGACGAGGAAGTGTTTAAAGGCTTCAGGTCTTCAGAGGGCAGCAATGGTTCTTACCAGTTATCAGCAAGAGCATGCGAGTCCAGTGTGGTGAGGCCCTGGGTTCCATGCACATATGCACAGACAGACACACACACACATTCATTACTCATTTTCAAGCAAGGAAACTGAGGCTCAGAGAAATGAGATCAACTGCAGAAAGGTAGCTATGCTGTGCTAGGGTAGGGTAGGGGGACCAGGAGCCACGCCAAAGCCTGTGTGTAATGAGGGTGCGCTTTCTTCACATGGTCACTGAGGTTAAATGAGGTTTTTATGTGTAAATGTTTAGCACAGAATCGGCCAAAGGAGAAGCTCAATAAATCTTAGTTAAAAAGAAAAACAAAGAGCTAGAAGTGGAAGAGAAAAAGGGTGGATTCCCCAGGTCTGCACGCTATTCCTCACGAGGGGCCTGGTATATCTCTTTCTTAGACAGCACTAGCGCCCAATGTGGGTATCAGAGAAGTGTACTCCACCCAAGACCTGGTCAAGTGACCATCTCTGCAGGTCAGCGTCACCAGGGCCATAAAACCTGACTGAGGCACACATGATCTAGGGGCACAAAAGTCAGTATCCTCACAACCTTGGGCTGAGGGAAGGCTGAAGTCCCCAAGGAAGAGGAAGGGCCCGCTGTTCCAGAAGGAACCATCACCCTCATCTACCATTCCTGGAAGTCCAGCCACACAGGCTGGCAGGAGGCACAGTTGCCACGAGTAGGACCAAGTTCAATGGCACAGGGCTACATACAAGAAATTATTCTGAATGAGAAGGGGTGGCGTAAATCATGAACCCCGATGCAAACGGTTCACAGGCCTAAGTCATCTTCCAAAGGGATTCCCATGAGGAGTATGTCTCGCAGGGTCGGGGGAGTAAGTCAGGGGAGGCCCAGCAGGATCTGGCAGCTGACATCTGGGGGCCCCAGCAGCGTCCAGAGAGATCGCATCAGATCAGATTGCATGCAGCTTCACAAGGTAAATATAGCAGGGACCAGGGCTGTTAACCCAAAATAAACAGCTCCTAGTGAGCCAGCAGGCCTTCACAGACCCAGTCCAGGGTCTAAGCGGACGGAATGGTGACCACGGTCCCCAGCTCCCACCAGTCCACAGACCCTCACCAGAGAAACTGGGGATCCCAGTGCTGAAGCACAGGCTAAAGATGACTGATCTTGTGGAGGGCAAGGCCCGGCTGACCTGGCCAGGCACGTGCCCACCCCACCATCTCTTACCTTCCTGTTGGGCTCCATGGCTTTCTTTCCCCTAGTTCTTCCAGCTCACCCTACAGTTACCCCACAGATAGCTGTAGCCCTAGTCACAGACCCAGACCCAGTCACAGGAGCGTCATCCGGCTGCCTGCATTTGCCAACTCCATTCCAAATGCAAACCATTGATTGAGAGAGATCTGAATCCAGTCCCGTGGTTTATAAACTCTCTTGACCACAGCAGTCCAGTACTCTAATAAATGTTTCTAAAAATAGATATGCACTCTTTTATGAAACAGAAACAAAAGTTTCACTAAAAACCACTTACTCTTGACGCCTGTCACTGCAGTCCATTCTTACCAGCTCGGGCTCACTACTCCCTCCCACCAGATAATTCCAGAGATCTCTCCTCCATTCTGAAGGAGAGACAATACTGTGGAAATGAAACGCTGTTCCACCGCTACTGGGCAAGCCCTCCTAAAAGGTTGGCATTCACTCTTCCTTAACCCAAGGGCAGGTGCAGAAGGGCCAGCACACGACACCAGGGTCAAAGGGGTGGTGGTGTGCGTGAGGGCCCCCTAGCTGGCTCCTCAAAAAAGAATGGAGAAAGCCGGGCAGTGGTGGCCACACCTTTAATCCCAGCACTCGGGAGGCAGAGGCAGGTGGATCCCTGTGAGTTCGAGGCCAGCCTGGTCTATAAAGCGAGTGCCAGGACAGGTTCCAAAACTATAGAGAAACCTTGTTTCTAAAAACAAAAAACAACCCCACCCCACCCCAAAAATGGAGAAATACATCTACTGATCTTGGTGTCTACACTCATTTTTATTTATTTATTTGGTTTTGTTTTGACACAGGGTTTTCTATCATGTAGACCTTCATGTCCTATAACTTGCTGTGGAGATTAGGTTGGCCTCGAATCCACAGACATCCTCCTGTTTTTGCTTTCCAAGTGCTGGGATTAAAGGCGTGCGCCACCACACCTGGTGACACCTGATGAGGCTGTCACTTCTCTGAGTAAAGGTTTCATTCTGCAGATTCAGCAAATGGTGTCCATCTCCTCCACCCCATTTTTATTTTTGAGACAGGGCCTCACTGGGTAGTTCAGACTGGCAACCCTCCCTGTCTCATCCTGTTTCTCTCTTCACATTTTCC